ATTATAAGAAATAAATGGTAAAGTTTCAAGCACATGCTCTGTATATACAAATTAAGCTGGATTTGGAAAGTAAGAACACACCTCTTCAAGAAAACATAGTGTGCATAGTCCACCGACTTGATTAAATGAGATGTCAACAACAATGTTTTCCACAAGACACTTTATAATCTTGACCTGTACATGATACATGGAACATGAGAGAACGACACAAATGTATGAAAAAATATGTATATAAGTGGCAGATCCTTAAACATGGTATATTCCCCAAAGGAAGACAAGGGAAGGGAGCAAGAAAAAAGGAATCAGATGCATTTTTTCTGTACTAAGAACTAAGGCGGCAGCGATGAAATAGACTATCATTTTTGTCAAGTAGTGCCTAAGAAGGATACCTTTCGTTATCTAGGATCGATGCTACAGAGGGATGGAGATATTGATGCGGACGTTAGCCATAGAATCAAAGCAGGGTGGATCAAGTGGCGACAAGATGCTGGCACTCTTTGTGACAAGAGGGTACCACAAAAGCTAAAAGGCAAGTTTTATAGAACGGCGATTAGACCGACTATGTTGTATGGAGCAGAATGTTGGCCTACAAAGATTCGAAATGTTCAACAACTGAGTGTTGCAGAAATGTGTATGTTGCGATGGATTTGTGGTCACACAAGAATGGACCGAGTTAGGAACGATGATATACGTGACCGCCTAGGGATAGCACCAATTGAAGAAAAGCTTGTCCAACATCGGTTGAGGTGGTTTGGCCATGTCCAAAGGAGACCTTCAGAGGCACCAGTGCATTGTGGAGTCCTAAGCCAAGCTAATTATGTGAGGAGAGGTAGAGGTAGACCGAAATTGACATGGGGGGAGGCAATAAAAAGAGATTTGAAAGCTTGGGATGTACCTAGAGATCTATGTTTGAATAGGAGTGCTTGGAAAGCAACTATTGAAGTGCCTGAACCGTGACTAGGGGCTCTTGGTGGGTTTCAACTCTAGCCTACCCCAACTTGCTTGGGACTGACAGGCTTTGTTGTTGTTGTTGTTGTTGTAAGAACTAAGGCTGATGCTAGAAGTGTCTTCAAAAACATAATCCTCCTAAAATTTAATAGTATATTAGCATAGCGATTTTGCCCACGCTACATTCTGCAAAGAACTGTATTAAAGGAGCGATGGCCACATACTAAACTGAAGTTTAACTTAGATATTTTGTTACTTTCTGTTCTGTACAGATTCATATGGCACAGCATGCAATAGGCAACTTCTGGTAATAACTTCAACACAATCATAAAGTCGTAAACCATGAGCCCATGATGCTAATTTAAACTCTATTATAGGTACACATTTAGCAGGGGCGTAACCTCGTATTGAGCTTCTCTGATGCTTATACAGCAACTAAAAGAGATATCACAGGGAAAAATACCTCTGCCTGAATATACTGGACTTCTTTTACATGAAATTCAGCATTTTCGTTCTTCTCTTCACGCTCCAATGCATCCCGGACAAGATTTGCCCAAATCTCCTTTAATTCTTCACTATTACTAAAAGCAGTGACATCAATGTCACCATCGGGTAAGTAAGTCTTGAGAGGGACCGACCCAAAGGTAAAAACCTGCAGAGAGGAAGAGACCAATTCTCTGTGAAGCATATAAAGTCAACTGGATAACTGGATGCTGAAGATAAGAGCAGGAACGTCCAAAATGCTAGTGAAAAAATCCCCCTTGACATGCATAAGACAAACAAACAAGTCTATTTCAATCATCAAAAAAGCATGAAGTAAGGTAAAAGTGGTATCCCGACGCATCTCCTACTCTCCTAGGCTGCACAGCAAATGCTCATCCCAACAGACAAGCCAGGATTTTCATACAGCCACATATGGCTATAGATTTATCACTATTAAACAGGATTTTCATACACCTCATGTCACAGGAATGTGTATAAAGAGGGGAATACAGTTCAACTATACACTATATCCCGGATCTCTCTTCATGCTCTTCCCCAATGCACAGATTACTTTTTCCCAGTCAAAGCTTCAGGCTTCTAAACAAGTATCAGATCCGAAGCATTGGTGTCAAGTGACCAGAGGCCCTCTGGAACCATAAGCCACCATTTCCAACGAGCACTCTATCCAGAATAAGCTTCGGTTGCTCAGACAAACATTTGAATAACAAACAGAAAGTAAAACATCGATTATTACGCTAGCCAGTTCTAAAGTAGCAGTCTCATCTAAGCATCCACACAGCAGTCCTCGCTGCCATCTAAGAGCGTTCTACTTCAGACAGATGCTAATCTCCACTGCTACATGTGGTGGGCAATCGGGCCACTTGGTAAGCAGGTACCCTACCTGACAGGAGAGGCAGTTCATGATGAGCCGCTGCACGTAGTGGTACACGGCCAGCCTCCGCCCCTCGGAGTACGCGTTGGGCTGGATGCGCGCGATCAACTCCGCCGTGCGGTCCTCCGCGACCGCCCAGCGCTCGGGGTCGAGCCGCCGCGTCACCCCGGCGGACGCACTGGGCAGGAGCCCGTTGGGCACCATCCCCATGCGCGCGCCAACCAATGCACCCTCCTCCGCCTGGCGGACCCAAAACCCTAGTCCCCGACACCAGCGGCAGCCGACGGCAGAGCACCCCCGCAGCAGCGGGCTACAGCGGCGACGGGTGGCTAAGAGCTCGGAGCAGCCGCCCTCGGCACGAATCGAGCCAGGCCGGTGGAGCCCCAGGGGGGGTCGGGCGGAAAACCTAGCGCGAGCGATGGATCGATGCGGTTGTGGGGATGAGTAAGCGGCGGCGGCGGCGATGAGGAAGGGAGTGGTCGGCGTGAGGAGAGGAGGGGAAGACAAGGGGAGGGTTGTGTTGGGGAGGGGGAGGAGACGTGCGGTTCGGGTCGGTGTTTGGTTTGGGCCGTGCCGCCGTGGGGATGCGCCGGGCAAACGTCTCAAACACTTCGATGTGGCGTGGCCGCGTGGGGCCTTTTTGGGTTCGAGCGGGAGCATCCGCCGTGCTACGCGGTAGGGACTTGCTAGATGCGCGTGGAATGGGGTTTTGGATTGGATTTTTCGGAAATTTGCGTGTAGATTGTAATCTGTAAACTGAGGTACATGAGTCGTGAGTATAGTCAGTCCTCGTAGAAATTGGAATCAGAATCACAGTCCTAAATTCAAATTACTAACTAGATGTAAGAAGGTTACCTAATGGTAATGAAAACAACACTTGTAGACGTGGATATAAACTTAAAACAGCATGTTTCTACCTTAATGGTCATTCATCTTGAGGATGTGTACGTCAACTATCTGTTACCCTCTAAATCAAAACCAAAAGTTTTTTATGTTTCTCATACATGTTTTAAAAACTAGTGCTATATAGCCACGTCTTCATGGTATACGTGCCATCTATCTATCACCTTCTAAATCTAAACCAAAGCATTTATTTGTCTCACGCGTATTTTAAGTACTAGTATTATATAGCCACGTTATAAAATGAGTTGCTACTAAACGACACTTATTGTTGGTTTCCTCGGACTTGAAACGTATTGTCATTAAATCTATAACTGAACCTAAAACCAAGCATTATTTGTATACACCGTGACATTATTATTCATGTATTATTATATTAACTTATGTTTTCATAATGTTGTCATAGGTTTTGTAGCACAAAACGACAAGATTGACCATTGTGTCACGCACGTGCCTTTGCCATGAGAAGCACATTATTTTTAGACCAAAGACAACGAACACACGCTTTATACAGTGGCTTGTCATTTTGTACAGAACCACATCTTAAGGATGTACATCCCATGATCCCATCTATCTATCACCTTCTAAATCTAATGGGCCCTTTAGAATGGAGGATTGGCAAAGGCTTTTTTGCATGATTCAGTTTCCATTGGAATTTTTCTCTACACCCCTTTGGTTTACATGAAAGAATAGGAAACATTTCATGGGATCGCACTCCTATGGCTTGATTCCACATGAAAACAAGAGGTCAGACCTCTTGAAAAATTCTTGGTGCGAAAACAAACTTCTCGCGCGCGTCGCTTGCTCCCATCTGAGGTGTGCTTCGTGTGTTCGGCGGTAAACTCAAAGTTGGGAGCATAAGAAACCTTTGTTATCCCTCTAATACTACCAAAGGCCCCCTCATCTCTTTTCTTGTGTTTTTAGTTTCTATATTTGATAAACATGGCACCTCAATTCTTGTATTTTTCCTATTCTAGTATTTTTCATATCCTGTGTTCCAAAGAAAACCTAAACCAAAGTCTTTATTTGTCCCACACGTGTTTTAAGAACTAGTGTTACATAGCCAAGTTACGAAGTAGATTGCTACTAAACCACAATTGTTGTTGGTGCTAAAACAACACTTATTGTCAGTTCCAACGAAACGTATCATAATTGAATCTATAACCACCCAATTCAAAACCAAGCACTATCAACTCCTGTTTCCACAATGTTGTTATAGATTTCATATATCACAAAACGACAAGAATCACCAATAGTGTCACACATGTGACATTGCCATAAGAAGCACACTATTTTGTAGAATAAAAGGCAAGGAGCACATAATTTATATAACGCCTTTCCATTTGTCGTGCATCTCTCGAGTTCACATGGAGTGTTTGAAAGATGTCACATACATGTACACACTTTGGTAGAAAGTGGCCACCGAGGTCACGTTCCAAACTTGAGGAAATTAAGCGTGTGTCTGGATGGAGGGATTAACTGGGTTGGATCTAAAAATTTTGGTGTTTGGATCGTAGTTTATGGGTTGGCGCCAAACCCAGGAGAGCATATTCACAGTAGATGCGGGTTCCCTCGGTACCGCAAAATCGGGCGGACGAGGTCGACCCACATCGAACGCACGCATCTCCCTCGAGTCCGTCTCCCTAGCGGCGCAAGGGAGCACGACTGGCGGGCCAAGCACGACCACCGCCCTATTCCTCTCTGCAACCGACTAACTCCCAAGTGGCGGCTGTAGGGGGGCGCAGCGGCGCTCACAACATAGCGGAGGAGATGCGCCATGGCCGTGGAGAGCGCAACGGACGAGATGCGCAACAGAGTCATGACCGTGGGGGCGCGCGTGGAGGAGATGCGCCAGAGGCCATGCGGGTGTAGGGGAGCATGGCCGACGGAGCCGAGCTGGCCACACAGGGATGAGTAGGGGCCAGGGGCGAGCCGCGCGATGACCCAGGGAAGAAGAAGGGCTGAGATAGTGACATGCGGGACCCACATATCAGGGATCTGAAGCCACCTCCGATTTATCGCCAACAAAACAAAAAGTGGGATAAGCCTGTCCCCCAACCAACACGAGATGGGTTTAATCCAACAAAAAAAAAAAACTAGTTAGATCCAACCCGTCCCCGGTAGTCCAGAACCAAACACACGCTAACATGTCTAAGTCTGTTCCGGTGACCGACCGCGACCACCTAAAACCAAGCATGTTCTCCGAAATGTTGGACGCGGGTCTTCGTTAAATTTCCGAATTTTTTTTTCGAATCGGTCGAATTGCAGAACGCGACTTGCGGTGGAACTTGCTCAAACTCACGGTGTGCGAGGAGAAATCAACGCAGCCGTAGTGTCTACTACTCTACTCTACCGTTCCACAAATTTACTCGAAGTCTTCGGTGGACAGCCATAGTTTGCCCGCACGGCGCTTTCGGCAGAGCTACAAAAGTGTGTGCGAGCCCTTTGCAGTTTGCTGGCTTTGCTGCTAACACACGTGTGGTCGAGAACCAACGAGCGATAAAAAAAGCTAGGCACAGCCGCTCAAACAGCGCACGCCGCCCGGCTCCAGCTGAACGGCATCGGCATGCTGCGTCTGCACGCCGGCGCCCGCACCATTGGTTGCGCTCCCGCCCCGCCGTGCAGCGCGGGGCCGCCGTCTCGGGCCGTGCAGCGCGAAGAAGGCAGGGAACGAGGTCGACCGGCGGGCGCGAGGCGGCGGCGTGCTCTCCAGGACCGTGCTGCTGCGGGCCTGCGTCGCGCTCTTCGCCCTCGGCTTCGTCGACGCCGGGTGAGCTTCCACGCGCACGCCGCCAGTGGTTGCATTGCGCCGCGCTATCCCGGCACTGCCTGCTGCTCGGACCTTACAGTGGGTAGCTGCTGCTGGTGCTCCGCAGGTACAGCGGCGACTGGTCTCGCATCGGCGCCATCTCCAAGGACACCGAGGAGCTGCTCAAGCTGGTTGCCTACGTCGTCGTGCCGCTCTCTGTGGCCCTCGTATTTTCCTTATCCGAAGACAGCGACCGTAAATCTTAGGATTTGAGAAAGCGAATTGCATTCTTAGTAGAAGAGCGAAGAGTGTTGGATCGTTTTTCGTGTTCCGGATGCGCAGCTACATCGATGTAATACAAGTCAGGTTTACCAGTTTCTTTTTCTGAAGATAAAAAACGAATCAGAACTTCAGTATCATTGTCATTTGCTGTCCGGTTTGTCTGGGATCGGACCGAGGTTGTTCAGACATCATGGCCCATGGGCGACGTTTCGTGCTTGACAGGAGAAGGGATCAACCATGCGTGCCGCGACGGCGCAAGTAACCGCTGCTTGATCCGCGAGTAGTTTCTTTGATAGGAACCTCCTGGGGCGCGTTTAGTTCGCTCCAAAGTGCCGCGACGGCATTTCGCTTTGATTTGATAATAATTGTAACCGCTGCGTTGATCCGCGATTTCGTAGTATCTTTCTTTCTTTTTTTTGAATAGGAACCTCAAGGCCTGATCCTAGCATGCATGGATCCTGTGTCAGGAAGCACCGCGGGATTGCAGCGTTTGCCGCGACAGAGGCGGAGCGTTTGCCGTTGCTGTCGTCTCCGTTTCGTTGTCTCGTCGTCACAACGCCCCTCTAGGCTCTTGTAGTTGCGGGCCGCCTGTCAGGGCAGAGATCTCGTTTGAGGTCGCTACCACGCGCTCTTCTCGTTTGATCCTTTAGGCCGCGTTTAGTTCGGCCCCGGTTCGGGCCGCCTGTCAGGGCAGAGATCTCGTTTGAGGATCGATTAATTAGACTCAAAACGCGCTCTTCTTTTTAATTTAAGTAAACATTTGATCTTTCACGTAATTATCAAAGTAAGTTTGATATAAAATCTTTACAAATGAAATCTATAAAATGATAAAATGAGAATACATGATTGCGGGGACGACATTTTCTAATGGTAGAATATGATGTGACGTGAGCACGTCACCCGCCACTTTGTTCCCTTCATCGATCTACAAGTACAACAGGAGGCGCTTCGTCCAAGCCGTCCAAAGGAGGGAGCAAGCGACCCAGATCTTGCACACGGCACGGGCCGCACGGCAACACTGTGCGTCTTCTGCCGCAGGGGCGTGGGCCTTCTTCCCCCTCTTCCGCCCGTCCACTGCTCCTTTCTCTCGCCTCTTGACCTCTCCATCGTTCGACCTCGCGACGCGGCAATTAGGGGGGCGGAGGCCTTCGCTGAGATGACCACCATCGTGATCACCGTAGGTGATCTCCCGCGACACTCCCCCCCACCCTGTGCTCTGCTAGACAGAGGGATTCGGGTCCTTCCTTGGTAAGTCGCCGCCTCCTCCTTCCCCTAATACTCTTGTGGCCTGCCTGATTCGCGTCCCAATTCTTGCCTGCGCTTACATACTTGTTGGCAATTTCTGCTTACTGGGACGCATGGCTCGTGCTCGGGCTGAATTGTCAATCATGGATTATTGGCATTCGAATATCCGATGGTTGTATTTGTATCCGAAACGTTCGTCTCAACGGAGTAGGTGCCTTGTGCATACGAAAGGGAGGGGGAATGGATGTGAAAATATCAAAATATTGGTTAGGTTAGGGTTGGTTCATGTTTTGGTGGGAGCGTTAACACTGATATGAACTGCTGATAATTGTCATTTTGGGGGCAACCGGTACACACAGTAATTTTGTGTGAAACATACATAGTAAAAAAGTCTACTTAACCCCCCACCTTTCATACATAGTCTACTTTACCCCCAACTATGAAACCGTCTCTTTTACCCCCTGAACTTTCCAAAACCGTTTATTTTACCTCCGGATGGTTTTCACAGCGGTTTGCTACAGTAACGATGGGTTGCTACAGTGCCGGTGAGTTTGAATTTTTTTTAAATTTATTTTCGGTGATTTTTGAAAAATCATAGAAAAATCATAAAATGAAAAATCTAATTTTATTGGACTCCACGTGATTAGATCTACACAGTGAATATATAATACGGTATGCTTTAGTACAAAATTTTTACCATAGCCTTAGATTAATTGGAAAATCTAATTTTGTTTGTAATTAATTGGAATCTAATTTTTACTCTACACAGTGAATCTAATTTTTACGGTAGCAAAACCGTTGTCAAAAATCGTCCGGGAGGGTAAAATAGATGGTTTTAGAAAGTTCATAAATGTACGGTTTCATAGTTGGGGGTGAAGTAGATATCTCATATTTTTTCCAACATACATATGTTGGTATCTCATGTTCACGGGGTGCACTGTGCACCAAAGTAGGCTAGGGATCGTTTACAAATACACTTGGAGTCCTGTCGATCACGGCAGCTGAGAGTTGCAAGAGGATAGAGCATAGAATAGTCCCACTCGCAAAAAAAAAGAAAAAAAGAAAAGAAAAAAAGAATAGTCCCACTCGTCTAGCCGGACTGCAGGGTTGATTATGAGGTTTTATCTGGGAATTGGTGCATCCTCACTACCTGTTACCTAGCATATCTCTTTGTTGAAGCTGTCTTAAGCAAACCTGTTGAAGGGATATGCTATATGATGATGAACATCTCATCTGTTGCAATGTCGCACTTTTGCAAATCTATTGAATGACAAATCACATCCTATTTTAGGATTGCTGTTTTTGTTCTGACTTGGATGAATTAAAAACAACCCAATTTTGGTTTCTGTGCATCTACAAGTAAATTCACAATCCTGAATTTTGTTATTCTATATTTCAAAGATGGGTGCAGTACACTCTTCCAGTTGTAGCCTTCTAGGATCTGTTACTTCTTCCAATTCATACGCCTATGTATCCAATGCGCTCTTGTAACTTGTAAAGACATTTTGTATTGACATGTCTTAAGCTCATTTGCTCTCACAGAACCCAATGCTGACTGTCCCCTGTTCTTCAAAATGTGACTTTGGAGCTGTTAATCAGTTTCTTTTAGTTTATGTGTTACAGAATATAATCAACTGTTGTTGATTTTGAACATAAATTCTCATGTAGGACTAGAATCTGATGTTCCATCTATGTATCCCTTCTAAATTCTAAAAGTAACAAGAGAAGCAGAAGAAGCTGTTTTGCTTATCATATTATTGGCCATTGGGGTTGCAAATTGAGCGATAGTTCAGTGGTGTGGTTGATCGTGGTCATGCCTACCAACCGGGGTTCGAACCCGGTATTGCACCCAAAAAAAAACCCCTCTCTGTGCTCGCTGGCTTGTGTCTGTGGTGCATCGCTGGCCCCGGTAATGGTACACTGCGCTGGCCTGGGTAACAGTTTTGTGTCTCCACCCGGGTCATATGGTCCCTTCTTAATTATAATGCCCTGGGGTTGGTTCTTCCCCCACCGCTCGATTTTTTTAATTGGCCATTGGGGCATGGGATATCGTTGCCTTCTTTTGAAGAAGAAAAGGCTACCGACCACAGACGAATGTTTTTCCCAATTCATGTGCAATTTGAATAATTGTCAATGCATCAGGATGCTGTATTGCTGTTTCTCTGCATGACCTAGGCCAGTTTTGTATTTTTCATCAGAATTTTTTCCTAATCCTTCAAGAACCAGGCGTAACCCTCTGATCGTGGCGATTCATTGTTTAGACATCTGGTTGATGTATAGTTTACCATTTTCAACCTGTTAAGTTTCAGAATTTTTTCCGCGTAAGCTTTCTTTGTCTTTAGAACTTGGACTTTGTGCCTAATATTTGTCTTATGCATATATTTAGTGGATTTTGTGGTCAACCATACAGGAGCCACTCATATCTTTACCCCAAGTATTGATTGCATTCTATCAAATACTGAAGATTGTTTTCTCAGATTTGTTTGGTGAGGACATCATGTGGAGCTTTGCATCAAATGCCATAGCTGGAAGCTTAAAGAAAAAGGCACAACCCTCAAAATGCAGCATATCCAATCCAGATTGTTCTGATGATGAAGTTTCTTCATGTACAAGCAGAGAGGAAGGCCTTGATTGTCCAATATGCTGGGAATCCTTCAACCTTGTGGAGAATGTTCCCTATGTCTTGTGGTGTGGCCACACAATGTGCAAAAACTGCATCCTTGGTCTTCACTGGGCAGTTGTCAAGTTTCCGTCCCTTCCTATCCAGCTGCCTTTGTTCATCTCATGCCCCTGGTGCAACCTGTTGTCTTTCCGTCTGGTTTACAAGGGCAACCTCAGGTTCCCACGCAAGAACTACTTTCTGCTCTGGATGGTCGAGAGCATGAACGGTGAGAGAGCAAAATTCCATTCCACTAATCACGACGAGCATCATTCCTCATGGCATTCTAGTGCTGGCACAAGTTCCAGTCATCAACACCGAAGAAATGCTACTGTACGATCAGAGAGCTCTTCTGCCAGAGATACAAGCGTCGTCCATAACATTTTCCACACTGACAACATTAGTGCTTCTCTGCAAAAGCTTCTGGTGTGCTTCATGCAGCTGACAGCCAAGTTTCCGCTCGTGGTAATCTTCCTGCTGATAGTCCTTTATGCTGTCCCTGCAAGTGCTGCTGTTCTGGTCCTGTATGCCCTTATCACATTTTTGTTTGCACTGCCCTCATTTTTGATCCTCTACTTTGCTTATCCCAGCTTGGATTGGCTTGTCAGAGAGATCTTCGCTTAATTCGTGTTGTCTGAAATGTCAGCGCAGTTCGTACCCCTGTGACACATGATATATGCCACCTGCCCTCGTGGGCCCTGCATAGTTTCTTCTGATTTCATGTCCTCTGTCCTTCTAGCACCCTATTTCTGTTGTAACTATCTATTTATAAAAAAAAATACTCTGCAATGCTTTTATTTGTGGTTCTATGTTTGCTTGTTTTCTGGTTCTGGTTGAAAAACCTGTGTTCCATGAAATGTTAATCTTTGTTCACTGTACAAGAATAAACTTGTAACGCCGATGCAATGAAATGTTTGTAGGCTAAGGTAAAATTACGCAAGCAATTTAACTTCAGGTATCTGTTTGCTGGGTATTCTCCACTTCAGATGAACAACACAGCATTCTCCACTCCACTTCACTTGGAATGATGGACACAGGATGCGCTCATGCACGGGGGATCCCGGGATTGGCACTGGTCTT